TGCTGGAATGAGCCCACTGGCTCTTGAGGTTGGAAAATAAAGGCACCAAGGGGCCTGACTCACAGTCCYTTATTGCCCACAACAAGATAYACAGAAACACCCAGCTTATGTTCCTGGATCTGCACAGCTACTGGAGGTAATACACAACCCACTGCCCACGAGACATGGCTGCTGGTCCTGCTTAAGTACACTTGAAAAATCCTACTGGTGTCTGCCTGCCTCATTMGGCACCTAAATATCTTTGGGATTCGAGTCCGGAGCCTTTTGTGCCTCACGGTCCCCCACTGCTAATGGACATCATCAACTATCCTGAAGGAGCACAGGAAAACATATATATTTATTAGGGATTTTAAGGCTCAAACAGGGGGTTAATGGGAATCACTTAGGCAAATAATGCAGCCAGCTAATAGGTGAGAGAGAATAATAATTTATGGGCTGAGAAGAGGAAAGGAACAGGGGGCTGCCAGGTAATTCTCTTTCTCTGGCTGCCATACAAAGCCAGCAGGGTTGACAAGGAGCAGTCTGTAAACTTGAAACAAAGCATGTTTCTGCAGCTGGATAGAGTCAAGCACAGCTCTATATTAGCAAAGGAAAAAAGAGATTTCACAGCTTTATAGCTTTGGGCTGGTTTCCCCTCAGGAAGTGAAAATAGGCCGGTCTCACCACCCCTGCCACTGCCCTGGGTCTTGTCTGTCCCAGCCATCCTTCAAACACAGCACAGCTCCAGGATGGGGAACCCAGCAGGGTCAGCAGGCATGTCTTTTCACTCCTTGAAAAGGGATTAAAGCAACATCAGAACAATTAAAATGTTCTTTTTTAATACAAATCCAACTTTAAGCYTAAAATGACATTTCTTTTTTCTTCTCCAGYCAAGCTGTTTAAAGACAATAAATTGCAGCATCAAAAACCTTGATAAGGACAAAAACTTTGTGATGCACAAACCTCAGGAGCTTCTCAGTGGTTTTTGGCTTTGACACACGTTGAGACTGGCAGCAGGGTTCAKCCACACAGCAAAGAGCCCTTTGGGCCATGGGGACAAATCACTGCTGTAGCYGTGGGTTGTTTTAATCGGCATGTAGCCATGATGTAACCCAGACTGCTGTCATGCCAACCCTGAGAAAATGAAAAAAATCCAACCTTAGCTCCAAATAGCAAAGAATTCAGGCTCCATGGCCACACCTTATCATGGTAGTGAGCATTTCACTTCACAGGGGAACACAGCACAACACCATCACACACAGCCCAGCACCCACAGCCCAGCACCCACAGCCCAACACACACAGCCCGACACCAACACACAGAGCCTGACACAGCACAAACCCCTGTCAGGCAAACGGCTGCCTTGGGCAGAGCAAGGATGAAAGCAAAGCCCCAGACCTGCGGTGTAATGGGAAATGGATCAAGATGTGCATAAAACTACAGTGTATTTGTTCTGGGCAGTGCTACATTGAGTGGGGAGGGAACTATCATGGCTGTGATTAACTACAGCTCCAGTGGTTTCAGCCTGACTRCTCTAATAAGGTGCCTGTCCCTGGTTTCATGCAGGATTTTTCACAGAAGGCCTCTTGACCAGCCAGAGTCTCAAGTTCTCAGTAACTCCTGCAGCTGCGGATCAGAGCTTCTGTTTTAGCTTGCTCAGGAGAGACCCTTATTGGTATTTAAAACACCTCACTCTTTTACAGATTCCTTTTTGTTAAAAAAAAAAAAAAATTGGTATACATATGTATAGTAGGGAGTAGAAGTGAAACAGGCATTGATTTGGCATTAAGCACCAAAACCTGAGCTCAGCCTGAATAACTGTCTGGGCAGCTGTGCCAGGGCCAAGGTTCCCCCCAGGAGCGTGTGCCACCWGCCCATCAGTGCAGATGACAGCAGGAGAGAGGCAGAGCTGGTGCAGCGGCCGCTCACCCTTGTGCTTCCCTGTCCTGGCTGCCCTGCAGTGCCAGCACAGAGTGAGTCCTCYCTTGGGGCCACCCCTGCACGCCTGTGGTGCCTCTCCTGCCGTGCAGGACATCCAAGCAGGACCACAAGACAAGTGCCAGCTTCTTGCCAGGTGCTTGCTCTGCTCCCAGAGAGGTGTAAATCAGGGGTTACCCTGCSGCAGGCAGTGGAATAGCTCCTGATTTACAACATCCTACACAAGAGGAGAGCTTGACCTTACACTTCAACATCAGTGCAGCTTCCTTTGTTGAAAGCTTCTTAAGACAGACATGTAATCAATCCTGGAGAGCCACTGAGCAGCAGGGCTCAGGTTCTGCATAAGTCAGGGCTATGCTTCCTGGGGAAATTGTCTGATCCAGGCTCCCATGACATCTATTCCTAGGTGCCCCCTGCATACTGTCTGATAGGGATGAGTGAGTTTTTCTGTTTTTCCTTTGTTATAAATGGCTGCTTTAGATTAATACAATCCACAAAGAGAATTTTTTCTGTAATAAGTCTGGCTTACCTATGCTACTAACCTTTCAGTGAGACAGGCTTTCAGTGAGCTCAGGTCTTTGGAAATTCTGGCCTTTATAGGCATTTAATGTTATTTTAGAATCCAGGAGGAAAAGCTTACTGCCTTGCTTCTGTTTTCTCATGGCCGCAATTATGAGGGCAGTCTGATGACGTAACTTGTATGGAAAATAAATGAAGGCTTTCAACAGTGAGTACTGTCAGACACTTCGTTCCTTGTAACTATTTTAGAAATCCAAATTCAGTTTGCATTGCCACAGCACCACATGCTGCTCTTTTTTATGTTTGTATAAATCCCATGCTATACTACTGCCTTCAGGAGATCTTTTGTGTGTTCACATGGTGGGGTGGCAGAATTTGGCTCATGGCGTAAGTCCATGTACACCTTGTGGGATGATCTGCTGGTCCAGTAAACAGAGCAGGAGAACCATGTTTAGTCCTACAACTCACTAGCTCTCACTAGCTATAACTATTTGCCTTAATGACACAGACCATGAGAGYGAAGGCAGGATGAGACTTTGGGCATTTTCGCACTTCAAACAGACAGAAGAAAAGGAAAGGCAAAATACAAACAAAGACAGGATTTTTTTTTCAGAAAAAAGAGACAATTAATTGTCRTTATTAACTATTACAGCCTGACACCAACCAGGAGTGCAGTGCTGGTAYTCCAGCTGCTGGAATGTTCCCCTGCAGTCATCAGGCCTTTGCCCTGCCYTTCCCTCTGCCTGTGCTCCAGCTCAAGCTGGTGGCAGACAGGGACAGGCAGCAGCCTTGTGCTCAGGCTGCAACCCAAGCAGGGCACTGGCCACTGTGGTTGAGTGCCAACTCCCCAGAAGACGTGTTTACTAATCAGCAGTTACAAATACAACTGGAGACAGCAAGGCAATAATAATAATTATACTTAGTCCARTTCTTCTTACAAGCTTGATATAATCCTGACTTCTCACAACTCTGTGACAAGGAAGGATCAGAATTTCCTCTTGAGGCATGAGGAATGGGATATGGAGGGGTCAAAAGCTCTACCGGCCTAAAGTTAGACAAGAGTGTGAAAACAAATCTATGTATTACAGGGGTAGTAGATAAACTGTTTTCCAAAAATTCTGTTGGAGACMGTTTGCTTTTGAAGACATCCTCCCCACAGCATTTGTAACCCAAATAATACAGAACTGAAAAGCTGAAGTATGTACTGGCATAAACAAAATGAAGGATGAAAACAGGGCATTTTTGATATTTTTATTAATATCCCAAGAGGAGCATGTGGGCAGTAGCCTTCTCTGCCATCAACTGGCCTTGAGGGCTTCAGTGCCTCTGGATCCCGACCCGTGTCACACCCACCACTCCCTGAAGCTCCCTGCGCCCTGGCAGGACACAGCTCACGACAGAAAAGCTGCTGAAACGGTGCCAGTTTTCACAGCCAAACAAACTCACCTTTATCCTCACCACAGACGCACTCATGGGCATTTCTCCCMCTCTCTGCTGTCTGGAGGCGAGTCGGCGTTTCTTCCTCATTCAGACTCTTGCTGAATTCTACAGCCTGTTTTGGGCAATTGTTTGGGTTTCTTTGCTGGAAAAACTGGCTTCTTTCTTCCTCGCCCTGGTTTCATAMAAGTACATGTCAAACTCGAGATGATGCTGGTTAGGGGTCATTTCCGTCAGAGCCTCTGGCTCAGTGAGGATCTGCCTCTGCCATCTGGAAACCTGATGGATCTCTGACAAGCCTGGGTGKTTGTACCCAGTCTCCTGCCCATCTGAGCACCAGCAGCTGCTTTAAACCCTGACCATCCCCTCTCATTTTTGACTTAGGGAGCTGTTTTCTGGCATTCAGTCTGGAGAAAAGGCYCCTAGAAGGGCCCATTACAGGACAGGAAAGACCTTGCCAAATGCCTCCCTCCAGCAGGGAATCCCCCCAGGAGATTCCCTCAGGYTTTCGGTGCCCACAATGTGCCTGGGACAAAGGGCAGCACCAACACATCTTCTCCACCAGGAAGCTGAGGGGGTGTCTGGTTCAATTAGAGGCAATTTTAGCTCCAGATTCTATTCATGCATTTATTTAACATTGCTAAAATYTTCCTGTTCTTTCCTACCCCTCCTCTCAGTCTGGCCTGCCCCAGGACAGGCACCAGCTCTCCCATAAGACAATTTCTGTGTTGGAGGAGTGACATTCTGTATCCACCACTGCCCTCGCAGGCGTCACAGAATGAGCAAGGTCCCCTCCTCAGTGCCTCACACTTGGCATTTACACACAAGAACTGTCACTTAAATAAACATGGTGCTATACAAAAAAAACCACCAAAAAAACCCAACAGAGATTAATTTCACATTCACCTATAATTACACTGGAAAAGGACAGCGGGCCTAAGCAATCTCACCTTAAAATAAAATTAAAGCCTGCCTAAACTCTCTGTCCAGCCTACTGCTTCTACCAACAGTAAACATGCATTTGTACATGTTATTAGATTGACGTTGTAGCATCCTGCACAAATCAAATTAATTCAAGTATTGCAGGTATGAAACATCGTAGCTGAAAAATGAGCACATAAAGGATATGCAATTTTCCCCTGGCAGTTTATTATGGTATGAAGAAAAAAACATTCTGTGCTTGAAGCTGACGTTATATTACAAATGTATTGCGAAGTATGACGTGACTATTAAAATATGATTACACAAAGTATGAACATTTTAAGAAGTTTACAGTACAGTGAATCTTTTATAAACAGACTCTTAAATATACAGAGGACAATAGTAGCTGACAGAAAAACATCAAAAATTAACTATTAATGTTTATAGACTTTTCCCCTGAAAAAAGTCTCACATTAAAACAGAAAATATGAAAAGCCTTAAAACCAGGAACAAATCACCTGTACACTACAAATATACATGGCCGAGGTGCACAAACCAGAGCTACCTTTTTGCTGAAGGGTTCAGTGGCCAGAGCCTGCGCAGTGCCTGCCCAGCACCTGCTGTCCAGTGTGGCCACCATGGGCCACGCCACGCTGAGCCTGTGACCCCGYGGCACTCAGGCATCAGCAGCTGGAAGGTCACAAGCACAAGCTCCCTGCAAGAGAGCACCGGCGCATTGTCAGAGTCACAACAACCCACTGGAGTGTATCAGGCTGAGAACACGCCTGGGATCTGGCAAAAGGACCTCTGCAAGCAGATCCCTSAATGCCCTGGGGGCCTGCATGGGACCTACATACCAGGTTCAGTCTGCAAGACTGAGTGTCAAGGGAATCAGCAGCTGCTTTTAGGGATTTTTTTTTAATGCAACTTTTCAATCTTTCTCTTGATATGGGAGAACAGATGCCACATTTGCTTTCTGCTTAGTCTGGTTGCAATGACACCCCTAGATCATGTGTTAAGTTATGTCAAAAACATAAGTATTTTATGCTGTAATACACAGTATTACTGAAACTAACAATATTATTTGCATATTTATAACAAGGTATAATGAAATCCCTATAATAAAACCAAAAGTTATGCTATAGATTTATTTACAAAGAGTCCAGCAAAGAAGTATAAATACTTCTACATTTAAGGTTTAGGAAAACATAATTTACAAAATATTCAAATATATACAGTCATCTGAAAAACTGCCAATATTAAACTTTGATGCAGGCRAAGAATTGGCTGAGTCTATTCCCTCTGTATCGAACGAGGCAGCGGCTTTCACGGGTTGTCTGTTCTGTTCAAAGCCATACGTGTGTTATTTACAACGAGGCTGCTTCTCTCCGAGCTAAACGTGTCCAGAGCTTTGAGCGTGCTGTCCCAAAATGTCATCTATCATTGTCAGATTGTTCAACCACTCTTCGTCGTTGCTGCTGCTGTTCTTCATGAGGGAGTCGAGGAAGTCGGTGTCGCTGCAGTTGGCGGGCATGATGGAATTGCTGTGCTGGGACACAAAGTCATACTGGGGCAGCTCGGCGGCGGTGCTCATCCTGCTGAAGGCGTCGGGCTGGCCRGTGGAAGGGTAGCTGGGCGGGCCGAGGCCCGGGGCAGGATTGAGGTGGTTAAAACTGGACACTCCTTGGGGCACCGATTTCATAACATTCATAGCTGGCAACGGTCCCCTGGTTAAATTGTGTCTCAAGTTCTGATTACTCATTGAGCTCAAGCCCTGGCCAGACTGTGCCATGCTCAGTTTCTGCATCTGCCTGACCTGGACGCCGGGAGCGATCTGATTCGGCGGCACCACAGCCTGCTGGGAGAATGTCTGACCCGGTGTGCTCGGCCGCACGCTCTGTTTGGAGAAGACCGTGTTCCCGGAGAACTGCTGCATGCTGGTATCCATTTGGCTTTGATTTGGCATTCTTGGCACAGTAGTCGGCGTCCACATCTGGGCAGATGAGTTGGGGTAGACAYTGGGGATTCGTGGCATGCTCGGCTGCCTCAAGTGTTGCTGTGTTGCAGAGTGATTTGCTAAGGAGCCAGAACTGAAGCCTCCCATGGGCATTCCCGGCCGCACAGTGGAGTGGCTGTGCACCGTTTGGCACCCCGAGTTCATGCCCAGTGAGCTCTGGCTTGGCCGCAGCGGGATGTTGAAGTCAGAATTGGGAGGGAAAATCCCCTGCTGCTTGCCAGGGTTGTGTGGGATCATCACCATSGTCCCGCTGCTCTGGCTGGCGCTGGCTGGGGCCATGCCAGAGCCCAAGGTGCTCTGCAGCATGGCTGGGTTTGACGGCAGCATGCGGTGGTTGGGAGGAGGAGCTGGGATCACCTGGTTGCAGTCAGCAGGAATGGGCTGCTGTACAGCTGTGGGCAAAGAGACACGTGAGCKGGTGAGCACAAATGCACCCTGGAAACATGGCAGAACCTTTAAAAACTGCTGCTCTGTCTCTCTTTCATGTCACAGGGGCCTTTCTTTTGTGTTCTTCCTAACGGAGTCATAATGGAGCCATAACGAAATGGGGGAATCTCACAATATGCGATAAAATGCAAAATGCTTTTAATTCAGGGAAGAGAATCATTAAGYGTCTCTATTTAACCAGACACCAGGCCCTGGAACCTAAAGGATTTTCATAGCATTTTCTTCCTTACCTTGAAACTGGTTTATCTGTTGAGCTGCAAACAAACTCCTCTGTTCAGATGTTACTCCCAGCATGTTTTGCCTCTGCTTTTCCTGAAAAACAAGGGGAATAACAGTCAAGTTGCAGGCTCATGACAAGCAAAAGAGCAGCAGACACTTGAAGTGTAGCCACTGTCATCATTAACCTCTTCCCTACACACTCTACCCCCCTTCTCTGATGAAACTCGGCCCAGACAGTTCATTTCAGACAGAATCTTGATTGCTCACATTCCCCTTCTTGCAAAGGTGTCCTGATGCTAGCCCAGCACTGGGAAGTGCAACCTGCAGCACACACTGTGCAGGTAGTCAAAGGGGAGCTGGACACAGAGACTCGTGTGCTCACAGCTTATGAGTGAAGTGTGCTGCAGCTGGAGGCTCTGCCCATGTGCACCATCCCCTTGTGTGCTGSTTGCTGCTTCCAACCAGGATACGGGGGCCAGGGACCTGTGCAGGATGCAGCAGGTGCTCCCTAAGCAAAGCACTGCTGGGTCACTGCAGGTGACCTGATTTGAATTTCCCCCCATTTAGCCCCAGAACCCACCAYGGCACTCACATCCCTGCTGTGGGCAGCAGCTGTGACCTGGGGAGCTCTCTGGGGATGGTGGAAGCTGAGGGCTGGCTCCTCCTGTGTTAGAGTGGCTCAGAAAAAGCTGAAGCCAAGTGATGGCAGGGAGGCAGAGTTGGATTTGAAAGGGAGTTTGGTCAATGAGCAGAGCAGGACTTTGTTGAGGGTTTTAACGAGCTACTTCTTATCTCATTTCCCATCCACAGAAATGAGCCTCCTTGACCCAAATCCAGCAGCACRTTAAGAACGTCAGAGGCACATGGTCAGAGCTGACTAACCCAATTCATCTGTGGCATTTCTCCATCCCAGCTTCCTCACACAGCCTTACAAACCTCTGACAGGGGCTTTTGTTGCTAGAGAGACCAGTCAAGTCCTGGATAAACTGGAGTTTAACTAACATCTGCTCTGCTAAATCCCCAGGGAACCAGGGAGAAAGACAAGCATGGAGAACATCCCTCTGGGGCTGAGTCACTTTCCAAGCCTCTCTTCCCTCCCAGCTCTGTGGCTGACCAAAAATGATGTCAGGGATATGGAGGTGACCAAATCCTTCCCTTGCATATGAGGGGGCAGATCTGCACGCAGCTCTGGCAGAGCAGCACTCAGCCTTGGCCTCATCCTAGACTCACCACAGCCTTAGTCTGACTCAGCCTGGCAATTCCAGGGTCACTCCTTAGTGTTTGCTGACTGATGATTTCCTCATTCCWGTTAGTCCTGTCCTTCCCAGTGAGGTGGACAGCACAGCAACCCACAGAGGCATTCAGCATCGTACCTGCATCAGCTGCCGTTTGATTATTTGCTGCTTCAGTAACTGGTTCCTCATCGTGTACCCATTGACCGTGGCTGGTGCCGGCACGGAGCCACCGCTTGGGATGGAGCCCGGCTCCTGAAGTCTGGCAACAATTCCAGGATTTTGATCCTGCCAAGGAAGATGAAAAAAAGAAAATTAATCTCATCAGGGAGGTAACAACAGAAGCCCTTATCCTCTCTGCTGATGTCCTCTCTTTGGTCTTCAGCTGTCCCACGGCCAAAACACCTTTACGGACTCACATGGCCCTGTGTGTTAGTGAGGACAGTGAGAGGTGGGGGCCTGCTCTGATTTCTGAGGATAAGCACAAGAAGAAGTGAGAGAAACAGRAGGTTAATCCAAAATTCCTTGTGAGTAGCCCAAGGCCACGGGGACCAATTCACCACCACTGCTGCAGCCACAGRGCTGCCTGGCTGGCAGAAGGGAGGTGAGTAAAGCATCACATTTCTCACCACTTCTCCAACTGTTACACTGGGAGACAGACTGAAAGGAAAGTTGCATCAGGGTAGGATTTGGCATGTGAATGTAAAGTCTAGAGGAAAAGAGCAAACTAAAGGCAAAAGAGTAAAAAAGGTGCTACCAAACCAGGGACCCAGAGAGATAAGGAAGATGTGGGCTGGAATTGAAGTGGTTCTTGTGGGTTTCATGATCGSATGAACAAGAAGAGGTCATTGTGTAAGGAGAGAAGAACATGCAAAATGCAGGSCCAGGTCATGCCTGGGCACAAATCAGTAAYAAATGCAGTGGGCCCTGCTCCTGCCTGGCACAAACCAGCCTCGCTCTAAATCCTCAGTGAAAGATCCAAATTGACTTTGACAGCTGAGGCCTTGCCTCCAAAGAAAGAAYATGGTGTGGAGAAGGGAAAAAAAAWTYMMCMRRAMMWKGKKRA